GTAATAAATGGTGAACAGAAGTTCCAATACTGAAACAGTGCAAGTCTCGGTGATTTAAGCAGGAATTGGATTGATAGTGAAACCCACAAAGGCAGCTGACTGAACAGCTATGGCTCTTAACAAGCATCTTAACTGTTACTTAGCCAGTTATTGGGGTAACCGGCCCTATGAACGAGCATTGTTTCACTCACAAAACTTTCCTTATGAAGCCACACCAATAAAGTAAACAACCAAAAACAATTTCATTCATGAGTCCTACACTGGATGCCGCTGCCACCCCAGAGCCGCTCCAAGTAAGCGGTGCCGGGCTGGAGCCCTCACCCTGAACCCCTCCTGCACCCCAACTCCCTGCCATGAACCCTCTGCCTGCACCCCGCACCCCTGCCTTGAGCCCCCTGCCGCAGCCTGCATCCCAACTCCCTGCCCTGAGCCCCCTGCCTGCACCCCAACCCCCTGCCGCACTCCACACCCCTCCCGCAATCCAAGCCCCCGCCCCAGCCCTACATTCATGGCCCTGCAAGCAATTTCCCCACCCCGATGTGGCCCTCGGGCCAAAAAGTTTGCCCACCCCTGTTCTAGCATGTGGTCCTACTTCTATTTAAGTGAGTAGCAATAGGATCAGGCCCATAGTTTCTCAATCACTTTGGGGTCTGTGGTGTAATACATATACTATAATACATTGTACAGACAAGTGTTTGACTACTTAGTGCCCAGGGTCCGGGAGAAAATGGCCCCGAGGCACTTCACAAACAAAGGTTTTCCCAACAGTGGATTTTCCCAGAGTAATTCCAGTGGCAGAGGACACATGAGAGGCTTCCTGGGTATGTATTGTCAGAGTTCCATGGGAGTTGGGTGCTGATCTCCCACTCAAATTCTGCAGGATTTGGGCTTCTACCTACGTTAGGTCCTTTGAAAACACCAGCCTAAACCCTCTTGGACCACTTGATCCCTACACCTTGCAGGCATCCCACACAGAAAGTCTGTGGAGTGTGAACTCCATGGGGCTAACTCTGTTTTCATTTACACTGGGTTAAATCAGGAATATCTCTATTGACATCAGTGGAGATACACTGGTGCAAAACCAGGGCAGGTGCGATCAGAATCAGGCCCACTGGGTTTGGTGGCAGGAATGTTCAGGGTGATGTTGCATCCAAACGCTCCCAAACCAGAAGTGAGCCCAAGCTGTGTAATCTTTTTTCACAAGGACACATTTGTTTTTCTCTTTGGCAGTCGGGGACAGATGTGAGGGAGCCATGCAGATCCCGGGGATGGACAGGAGTTTGGGAGGAAGAACTCCCAGTGGGGAAGTCTGTCTCTCTCTTTATAAAAGAAGCCTGGCTCGTAGACGTGAGCTGTCCAGGCCCTGTCCTCAAGACTCGTCTTTTGCGGTTCTCTCTTCCATTAGATTTAACCGTGCACTCATGTCTGTGGTAATCGGTGGAGAACTCCACTGTAAACTGGGGCGTTTATATGCTGTGAACATGCCATTCAGCTTGTAGAGTGGAGTGGTAATGCCGTGCTAGAACGTGTGGCTTTGATGGGCTTTGTTTCCCAATCCAGCTGTTTTAATGGCATGACGTGTGGAATACAATGCCCGCTGGGTGCCACTTCTATCCCTTCCACCCAGTAGGGAGCCAGGGTGGGTTCCTTCCATTTCTCCCATCACGGCCAACTCAGATGGTCTCTAAGGAACATCGTCCGAGCTGGAGCACGGTGCCAGAGCCTTGTGTTAACTCAGCCGGGGCGTGGTGGGGTTTGCATGGAGAACTTCCTGCAGTGATACAAGGATCACAGAGTAACGAACCTCCTGTGTATTGCTGTTTCTGTTTTGTGCGTGTGTCTTTTGTTCACCATTTGCTTTTGGTCTTTTCTACTGAACAGCCGCGGTTCCGGAGTCCTGCCCTATAAACATTGACGAATAGGTATGAGATACGCAAAGTCCGAACAACCCTCCCTCTCTTTTTACTGTTTGATTCTTTTTTTTTAGACTTCTCTTGATGAGCAAAATTGCCCCCAGGCCACAATTAATGGGGAAAAAAATCTGGCCCCGCCCCTGTACGCCTTGATGGTGAGCCCGTCCCCTTGAGAACATGAGGGGTTTTCCAAACCCGGTGAGCCTGGATCTCCACTGCTCTGCACCTGGGGTCGTCACTGACACCAATGCACAGTGGGCGTCAAACACTCCTGGAGCAGAACGTTTCACCCACTTGGCACTGGCATAACGGATGCCGCAAAGTGCAGGACAATGGAGAATGGGGCCCGCTGCTTGGATTCAGCGCGAAAGACCGGTCGTATGTTGGGGGGCTTATTCTGAAGCTGGGCTGCTCTCCTCCGGCCCCCGCCACTGGCTGTGGTTTAAAAACAAACAGTGAAGGCTTTGGTGAGTTCTGCCGGCGTGTGCTACCCATCCACATGCAAAGGGAAAAAGCCACACCCAGTGCAAAAAACCAACCAACCTAAAATAATACCCTGGGGTGGTTTGTAGGGGAATAAATTACCCCTCCATGGCATAATGGAATATTGCTTTGGATGGGGAGGGCAGGTTCTGGTTCGTGTTGGAGTTAATCAGGCAAAATGGTTTCTCCCTGGAGAGATCTTCCAATTCATACTCCGTTTGGCCTCGTTGGGGCTAACTAGCCCAACAGGGGACGTGTCTCTGTTAATGTTAACCTCTTATTTTATTATTTACATTGCAGTGAGGCCCGAAGACCCCTAGTGTGCTGGGTGCTGTATGTACACACAGTGAGAGACAGTCCCTGCCCCCAATGACCTGACCATCTAAATCAGTGGTTCTCAAACTATTGTACGGGTGACCCCTTTCACGTAGCAAGCTTCCGAGTGTGACCCCCCCCTTATAAATAAAAACACTTGTTTATATATTTAACACATTATAAATGCTGGAGGCAAAGCGGGGTTTGGGGTGGAGGCTGATAGCTTGCGACCCCCTGAGAGGTCCCACCCCCAGTTTGAGAATCCCTGATCTAAATAGACAAGGCACACAAAGGGAGTGTTGTTATTTTCCACTGTTCACAGATGAGGAGCTGAGAGCTGGGCCCAGAGGACTAGGCCTGATCTGGCGCTATTGAAGTCTAAGGGTTCAGTGAGAGCAGTGACTTTTCCCAAGGTCACACAGAGAGTCGGTGGCAGAGTCTGGAACTGAATCCAGGTCTCCTGAATCCCAGTCCAGTGCTTTAACCCCCAAATCACCCCGCTTCCCTTTTCTAAGCAGTTCCTGTGGGGTTTGAAACCATTTCTCTCTTGTGGACTATAAGGACCAGCGTTTTATAGGTAGTTAGGTGCCTATCTCCCATTTGAAATCAATTGGTGATAGGGACTTAAATACAGTACCTTTAACAATCTGACCTTAAATCGCTGTGCATTGCTTTGAAAACCTAGGGTTGTAGGTCTGAACAGAGCCCTCCTACTCCCCATCCAACATCCCCATTTTATAGCCTGAGAATCCTGTTGACCTCTTTGTGTGCATTAGCAGTTAAGGTCTTCAGCCTCCCCAAACCTGCTGGATTTGACTGATTTCTGTTGACTTTATGCCGTGAGAAAGTACATATGAAGTCAGTGACCTTTAATCCTGAAAAAATCCCATGTGTACCTAGAGCAGTGATAGGCAGCCTTTGGCTCTGGCCCCACGTGTGGCTGTGAGAGGCCAACAGATCTAAGAGGAGCATCTTATGCCCTACCTAGTCTTGGGCAGGTGGCCCAAGTCCTCTCCATAATGCACACAAAGTGGTGGGGAAAATGTTAAACTCTGGGATCCCTCTCCATCTTCCCAGCAGCCAGGAAGGAAGGGGCAAGCAGTTGATGGACCAAATTCATCCCTAATGTAATTTCATGGCAGTCAGTGGAGCTACACCCTGGATTTGCATGGCCCAGTATTTGCAGGGACCTTGCCGACAGCCAGAAAACAATCCCAGGTGCTCTCCTGACGCTGCTTCTCCATGGTAGCTTTCAGCGGTGGCATCAGGCTGGGATTGTGGTGGCCCCACGATGTGACGTACACATTGCCCTTTCAGGATTAGTTTTGTGTCTCTGCAAGGCCTGCTGCTGCTGAAGTGGATTTCCAGGTCTCAGGGGCAGAGCGGTGGGAGAACCCCCTTCTTCTGGGATGTTTCTTCGTTCTGTCAGTAAATAAACAAACAATGGGGGTGGTGCCATTTTGATTCTGGAGCAAAACACTCCAAGGCTTGTGAACCTTGATGTAAACTCATGGGAGTTAGTCGCCTCGTTTAGCATTGTGCTGTAGGCAGGCTAAGCACCATAAATTTCCTGGGCAAAAGTGTAATGCCTTTGGCCTAAATTAACACAGACACACGCTTCCTGCACTAAGCAAAAATCCCGGCTCAGCACGGCGGTTATGTTTTTAGTTTATCTACAGCTGCAGGCTCTGTTCAGAAGCCAGGTAATTAAGACATACAATGGATTGTTGTTGCCATTGTACATTTTGATTGAAGCGAGCACTAGCGTATCCCAGTCATTTCCACAACAAGGAGCCTGAGCGATCTTTGTCCTGCCGCAACCAGCCCCGCTTTGAGGCAGCAGTTTTCCGTCTGGTGGAAGCCAGTTAGAGTGAAGTCATTTTTCCCAGCACGGGTTGCTGTAAGATGAGGTTCTCCCCCTAGCTGGAATCCCCACTGGTAGTTTTCAAAGCACTGAAGCAACTTGGGACTCATTGGAGCGCCGCTGTCTGTGAACTCACACGTCTACCTGAAATTCTGCCCCTGGCTATGAACTTCTAGAAGTTTGGCTAAAATGGGGCCCAGGGAGGAGACCAGCCCGCTGTAATGTTGCAAAAAAGAGTCCAAAACCCAACTGTTAGCAGAGCTGCTTCCCCAGCTCCCTGCAGCTGTCCCATCCTTCTTCAACTATAGGGCAATTCCACGCTGTGCCCAGATTTAAAATATCAAGTGGTATCTCGGAGGTCCCCTGCTCTCTGCTGACAGTGGGCACCGCTGTGCAGTGTGTAATCGCTGTCTTCTCTTCTCCAGGTTTCAAGGGGTCAGATGACAACGCCCTGACCCGCAGGCCAGCCCAGAGGCACCATCTGTCTTCCAGCAGCATCAACCTGGAAGAGGAGGAAGATATGCAGTGCATGATGGGCCCGCTGGCTGTCTGAAGAGACTCCACCCTCTCTGGGACTGCATGCTCATTTCAGCATCACACTGGAGGGAGGGCAAAGCCCCCCACCCACCACACTTCCCCAGCACTAAAGAAACGCAGAGCAGCAGCTCTGTGGGCATTAACACCTCAAATCCAGCCGATGTAGCGATACTGATTTTTACACAATTGAACCTGGACGTCTCATTGCTCCTCTCTCTGGACCCTTTCCCGATATTTATGCTAAGACAAACCGGGCTCACCGTGATCACAGCAGAACCGGTTTTGTTTGAATTAAGGAAGAGTGGCTACCCAGGTCTGAGGCTTTCCAGTCTCCTCCTGACATTTATCCACGTGCTGTAGCCAAGGGCTAGTTGGTTCTCTCTCCGCCCACTCCTGTCCCCTTCAATGTGGTGACCAGGGAATAGGGGAGGAAAGAGCTGATGTTTTGCGCCCTTCCTCCACGCCTGCCTCTTCTCTCCAGTCTTCACTGATAGTTTGAGCTCTAGCTTCTCAGCTGGGCCCCAGGGCAGCGCTGAAAGGTCTGCGTGCGTGACCCCGCAAGAGATGTTCCAGGGTGGGAGGTCTGCATGACAGCGAGGGCCTCCCTCCGGGGAAGTGGGGGAGGGGAACGAGCGTTCGTCTCCGGGTTGGAGAGGTGGGCGCCGCCTGCACTTGGCGGTTGGTTAAGAGAGGAGCATGACTGGGAGCAAGCCTAGCTGCCCATGGGCAGGCTCTCCCTCCCGTGTCCATCTGCATGTAGCTCACATTCATCTACCTCGCAAGCGTGCAGTATCCACCTCGCTCGCTCAGCTACACGCACTCTGCCGGTGTCAGTTTCCCCAAGGCCTGAGCCATGTAAGGCTAAATCCTGATCTCGTTAAAGTCAATGGGAACGTGGCCATTGCCTTCAGTGGGACCAGGATTCGGCTGCCCGTGCTCGTGATGATCCTCCGAGGGGCAGGCTCGCACACACCCATGGGGACATCTGTGCTGGTGCATGCAAGCAGGTGAGCTTACAAATGAGGGCTGGCATACCTGAGTAGGTGCACTTAAGCGTGCAAAAGACCATGCATATGTAGGCTTATGTACATGCCAGCATGCATGGACCCTGAAGCACGTATGTGCACGTGGGTGTGAGTGCATATTCACATTTGCTCAGCCCTCCCTTGCCCTGCCAGTTGGTGATATCTTTACCCCAACACCGACACGTGAGGATCAAGCCTCCAAATTCGTGCTTTAAATGCGGCTGATTTCACACCTTCAAAATATCCCCTCTCTCCCCCTTACCCTCCTCCCTCTGCCATCCTGCAGCTCCAGGCCTTTCTTCCTGCTGCAAAACCAACCCAAGCAATAACCCAGCTCCCCTGCTCTGAGCCATGACTCAGCAAGAGATCAGAGGAAGGGCAATTATTGGCCTGGAAGTGGGGGCTCACTTCTTAATCTTCAGCCTTTGCTTCTGTCTGGTATTTAACTAGAGGATCTGGGGCAGGGAAATGGTAACCTAGTTCCCTACAATGAAAGCCACAGCAGGGGCCCAACAGCCAGCCTCTCAGAGATGGTGAAGGGACTTTTCCACATCCTCCAAACTGCCGCCATGCTGGCTCCATTCGTCTCAGCTGGAGGGGGCTCAGCGCCAGCCGACGCCCCTCTGTCCTGAACAATTGCAGGGACAAACTCAGCCCCTCTCTTTGTTCCTTCTCTCTAAAGCACCTTGCAGAGAGCGTCGGCAAACAAGGACGTGTGCGCTGCGTCGCCCCCCGACCTCCGACCGCTGGTACCGTTCCTCCCACTCCACCCCCACTTTTCACTCCTCGGTTTTTCTTTCGATTTCTGACCTGTTAGTCTTGGAGCAGCGTGGCGAAGGGCACAGATTGAGCCCGGGGGGAGCTTTAAGAATGCAGGATAAGGCGGGGCAAAGCGTAGCAGACCCTCAGCGGCCAGGGCCGGTGCAAGGAAGTTTCACGCCCTAGGCGAAACTTCCACCTTGCGCCCCCCCTGCCCCCCAGCCCTGCGGCAGCTCCCCACCCCCCTCCACCCTGAGGCTCCCGCCCGCCCTGAGACGCCCCCCGTGGCAGCTCCCCCCCTCGCCCTGAGGCACCCCCCCGCAGCAGCTCCCCACTCCCCGACACGGGGATCCGTGCGGCAGCTCTGACCCAGGGGTTCCCCTGGGCTGCTGGTGGCGCACTGACCCAGGGGAACCCCTGGGCTGCCTGCCGACAGCTCAGACGCCCTCTCCCTCCCAGGGCAGTGGCCGCTGTAAAAAAAAAA